GGAATATTGGACTGTGAATTGGTGATAAAAAAAAATCAATAACTGATCAATGACTGAGGAGATTGATACGGGATCAGGAAATAAAATCCTGCGATACTTCCGTGTTTCCATGTTTTCCTGCAGCCCTGGTTCAGTTGAAGTATAACTCACTGGTTCTTCCTGTTCTGCCGTCCTGGTTTCAGATGTGTGGGGAGGGTGGAGCCCAGTTTTCCGGTCTTCATGTCCCGATACTGTCCCGTTCCCAGCGGGGGGTCAGTGAGGACATGACAAGTGATGAAGAGCGCATGGTCATCTGTGAAGAAGAGGGAGATGATGATGTCATTGGTGAGACGTCAGACCCACTGCACTCATGAACGTCACATTAGACATGATGTCCTTATTATTATGGTCTGTCTGTAGTACTGCAGTACTGCAGTACTGCTGCTGTTACTTCATCACACAGTCGTACGCTGAGGCTAACGCTGAGGCTAACGCTGAGGCTAACGCTGAGGCTAACGCTGACTTCCTGACTGTGGTTCTCTGCCTGTTTCTGTCACTTCCTCTGTGTTGTATTGAAACGTTCTCTCACCTTGTTCTTTGTACTCGTCTACTTCTGCTCCACTGGATGTGTCGTTTTATATAAAACCACAGGAAGATATTTAACTTTTCAAACAGGTCGATGTTTTTGTTTTTAACTAAAGAAGTTGGTCTGATAATTAGAGTGTTGGTTGTTAATGAACCTGTCGTGGTCTGATATAATAAATATGTAACTTTAATGAAAGAGTTTCTCAAGTGTTTTATACAGAACTGAAAAAAAACAGTTGGTGTCATTTTACAGATGGACAAAACCTTTAGCCTCCTGAACATGAAGCTAACAGTTTAGCGTTGGTAGGTGTAAACCCTGATGCTGAGCAGGCAGAAGAGTAGAGCATGTCTTTGTTGTCCACAGAGGACCCCCCCTACCCCAGCAACTCCATCGACCTCAAGTGTAAGGAGCGGGTGACGGACAGCGACAGTGACAACGTCTCCGGAGATGAAAGCGATCGAAAGGTGACTCCACGGATTTGACCTTTCTGATCAGAGGTCACGCTGCGTCGCCTGACGGTTTTAAAAACTCTTGTTTCTGTTTCTCCAGAGAGTTTTTGCCCCAGTGATCTGCTCCACTGCATCTTCATCTTCATCATCCTCACATCACACCCCCCACGGCAGGAGTGTCTCCCTCTCCTCTTACCCTTCCAGTAGACGTTATGATGAGGGCAGGTCTGGAGGCGGGGGCTTTTCAGATCACAGGAGAAAGGAGAGAGGAGACGCAGAGAACAGGGACATGTTTGGGGAGGATGGGGGAGGAGGGGGAGGA